ACATACGACTTCACCATTGACAAGAGGGACCTCGTTCAGTTCCTCAACTTTGAGGAGCTTGATATAGCCTTCATGCAGCTTGCTATTTTGTAAGTTACAATATCATTTTCTTATTACATATTATACTTCATGCATGTCCTAATGTTTTTTACTTGAACAACAGGCATTTTAATCAAATCTGTCGAAACGGAGGACTTGAAAGAACATATGGCTTTATGTGTCCTCAAAGGGTGCAGAAAGAATTTAATACTGTGGAAGCAAGGTCAATCTACATTATGACCGTAATGAGTCAGACCAAAAAGCAAATATATTTTGCACCTTACGTGGAAGGGTAAGTGTATTATTGTATTTGAGATATACAAGTTGTATGTGTCGGGTTATAATTAACATGGTTTGCCTTTTGCAGTTATCATTGGACTCTAATTGTTTGTGCCCCTTTTGACAACAAAGTTTACTGGTTCGATTCACTCTGTGGAAGTCCATCCGAAGAAACCAAAGATGTCATCGACACGTTAGTTTTTATTTATATATTTATTACTTGTGAAGTTTATACAAGCATGCTCTAATATCATTTTCTCTTATAATGTTGATAGGGCTTTTCATAGTTTTAATGTCGTGGCGATTAAACAAAATAGACAAGCACCAACATGGATTCTTCCACAGGTATATGTTGTTTTGAACTAACTTTTAAACATTTTTTGATGAATTAAAGTTAATGTTTATAATCAATAATGTCTAATATTCAATTTTATATCTTATTTTTTAGTATCGTTGTCAACAAGGACATGTTGAGTGTGGATATTATGTCATCCGCTACATGAATGACATAATTGAGACAGGAACGACTGAGAAATTAAACGAGGTAAAGATGAGTTACGTTGCATGACGTTCTTCAATTTATTTCACATTTTTGACTAAGTTTACTATGTTATTTTTGATTAACAGATATTTCAAAATACTGCGCCATATCTCATGGATGACATCAACTTGATGAGGGACACTTTGTCAACAACATTGGTAGAAAAAATTGAAATTTAGCTTTCAAATAGATAGGTTATTTGTCAAAAAATTCATTGTTAGATGCTTTCTCTCGGTTCCCTCTTATATTGTTCATGATTTCCATTGTACAAAGAAGTAGTTACTTCTATTTCAGAATTGTTGGACCTAGCTAGCCAATACGTGTTCCTTGGTTACCACTTAGTTCTATTATGTTGGCCGGTTTCCCTATTTTCGAATTGTGTAAAAAAAAATTTCATTGCTGTATATTAACTAGCTAATTGATCTTGTTCTGCGTGATCTGCACTGCCTACATTTGTTTGGAGCTGTAAACTGCAGGGTGGTAAACACGAAAATTTCGCAGAATTTTAAAAAAAAAAAAAAATTTAACGGCGGTTATACATATAACCGCCGTTAAAACCCTTTTCCACGGCGGTTCTATAGATAACCGCCGTGGAAAGTAGACTTTCCACGGCAGTCAACTATAGAAACCGCCGTGGAAAGTCAACTTTCCACGGCGGTTCAAAACCGCCGTGTTTTCCTTGCCTTTCAACGTCGCCTTCAACAACTACGCCTTCAAAACCGCCGTTAAAAGCCACTTTTAACCGCCGTTAAAAGCTTTTTTTCTGGTAGTGCTACTATCTCTTATTCTTAATATAAGAGTTAATTCACTAATTGAGTAAATTAAAAAAATTAGTTAAGTTAGTTATTTGTAATAAAAATTTACAATGCTAACAAATTACAAATCAAAACTCGGCAATGTGTAACTGAAACAAGTCTTACTATTGGTAACAATTGGTAATCGAGTTCTAGTTACGTACACTGCGTAGATATACGCAAAGGGCAAAAGCTAGGAACAACTGCAGTACCCAGATACACAACTAATAGCGAAATCCACACTACTACAAATTTCAAAATATATGACGCTCAATACTTCACGGTTGAAGAAAAAACCGTCAAATATTATAAGGCATAACCATTATTTGACGGTTATTTTATCAACCGTTAAGTACTGTTGAGGAATATTTAACGGTTATATAAAAAACCGTCAAATAATATTTTTATTTTTATTTTTTTAAAAAAGTAATATATTACTTGACGGTTGTTTATAAACAACCGTCAAGTAAGTTATCAATTTTTTTGACGGTTTTATAAGAAAACTGACATATATTCTTTTTATTTCAAAATTTTATAATAATACTTTATTAATGAATCATTTTTCTCAAGCCTTCTCCTTTTCTTTCCCGATACTTCTCCTCTTTGAACCCTCTCAATCATCACTCACACCCCCAATCCCTCTTCCTTCATTTCCTTTTCAGTTACCCTTTCTTGGTAGCAGATCTCGCGACGAGTCTCCTTAGCCGCCCTCACCAGTGATTCTTTCTCAACTTCAGCTTCTTTTGTTTTTCTCAGGATTTACTTTTACAGTTGTGGGTCACTATTCCTCCTTCGTCTTCTCTTTGTTCCTTTCTGTTCTTCATTCAGGTTTGTCTTCGACTGTTCTCATCTGTGGTCTCCTTTTCATTTTAGCAGGTATTTGTTTTCTATTACTGTACCTGTCCTCGGTGGCTTTTGTTGTCTCCACATGGTATACCTCCGGCCTCTCTCCAATCCCTAGTCTTCTTCTGCATCTATTTGCTATTACGAGAAAAGGGATTAAGCAGATAAATTTTTTTTACACCTACTTCTAATTCCTCTTATATTTATCATCTTCTACTGTGATATTTCAGCTTTGGAGGTTTTCTTATGTAGATTTTAGATTTAGATTTTATATACTAGAGCCGTAATTTTTATTTACTATGAATATGTGTTTGTGCGCTAAACTCGGAAGGAATTTTTGAATGAGATGTATTATAATATTAATAAATCAAAAGATTGAATTGTGATTTTTGCGTTTCATTCCTTTATTAGTTAAGCTGTTATTTTTCCGTCTTGCTTGACTTTGCATTTTCAATTTTGCTTTTCATCACAAAATAGGACCAAAAAGATAGACCACGTGGCTGTGAGTTGGCTAATTGTTTGCTTGGCACTTATTTCTTCTTTGATTAGTTTGCTGCTAGATCACCATTGTCCATAGACGCTATAACTTTCCCCCCTTCTTCCAAGGTCTGTTTGATAGTTGTCAGAAAGTTTAACAATCACATTATTTTTGCAGAATGTAAGGAGAAATCAACAGCCATCTAATGTGCAATTTCAACTTATAGCTTAGCTTTAAGGCATTTCGTGAATGGTAAGTTTGTTACATTAACAGTTATTGAAGATTGGTATTTGTAGTTATGGCAAATGACGTGGATGATGAAAAAGTGGAGATTGAGGAAGAGAAGCAAATTGCATATGGGAAATTAGAATGTTTTAATTAATGTATGTAGAGAGAGTGCAGCACAATGAAATGAGACTGTGATTGCATAAGATTTTCTTAGTTGATTTATAAAATGTGGATGCTTTTTAATTTTTCTATCCCCAGTTTGTTCAGTGTAGGCACACCGTTCCATGAGATCTGCAGAATTTTCACGTCTATCACCTGAATGGTAAGAATTGACATGCATGCCTTCATTAATGAATGTTGCTTTACATTAGACAAATTATATTGTTCTTGTTTGCCTTGTTATCCTCTCATCATACTCTGGTTTCTCTTCCAATAATTTTTCTTCTTTTATTTAAAAATTTCTTTAGAAAATTAATTGAACTTCATGAGTGTGTTTGACTAGATTCTGCTTTGGTAGGGAATTTTCATGACTTCTGCACCAATTCTAATTTCTTATTTCCTTTGTTTGAAAATTCCTTTGTGTCATGCTTGATTCCCTGTTTGATCAAATTTTTCTGATTGCTTGCTTTCTTGTCATGTATGTACTTATATATTTTGGAGTAAGTTTTGGAGTCAAAGCCAATATCATTTTGAAATTGAAGAAAAAGAAAGTTGATACTGGAGCTAAATAAGTTTTATATTTATGTTTATAGGGTCTTGGAAGATAATCAGCTTGGAGGACCGCTTCATTAGAGTCTTGAAAAATTGAGCAACCTACGGAGATTGTGATTTATTCCTTGTTTTTTTAGTAGTTTTCATTTGTGGTTTTTCAACCGAATAAAGCAACCTGTTAGCCGATTTCAATTTGTAGCTTCTAGGTGTTGTTTGTGATGTTAGCATTTTGTTCTCATCCCTTTGATATTGTCAGTTTGCTTTTATACCATGCTTTGTTGTTTTGTGTTGTTGTATTGCTTTGTCTATTAGTAATGCAAACATGTTTTGTTGTATTGCTTTTCCAACTATTTCACTCAACTAATTGTAATATATTTTATTTCTCATGCATCCAATTTATTTCTTTCAGGTAGATTGAGGCAACAGAAGCCAGATTTCTTTGGGCATTGCATTCATTACTTTTATATTGACAGCGATGGGTAAAGAGGAGGTTGGACTATGATGTTTGATCAAGAACAAATTTATAGAAATTTTTTGTTAATAGAATTTTAATTTAGAATTCAAAAAATTTGTAAGAGAATACTCTTTTGTATAAGGAGTGCTCAAGTAATTGATTTCTTTCAATTTGTATGATGTTTATGTATAATGTATTGGATTTTAAATTCTATAAATATAATTTTTATTTAATATTATTCTCTTGTTATTATTCAATAATTATATTGTATATCATAATAAATATTAATAGTAAAAAATAAATAGAAACAAATAGTTGAAAATAATTATATAGAATTAAATAAAGTCACTTTATTTGACACTTTTTTAACCTTATTTGACGGTTATTGGTGAATAACTGTCAAATAAGGTGATCTTATTTGACAGTTATGAACAAAGAACTGTCAAATAATATCACATTATTTGACAGTTATTGACTAAGAACCGTCAAATATTCCTAGAATATTTGACAGTTCAGAACCGTCAAATATTTGTTTTGTGAATATTTGGTGCCTTCTTATTTGACAGTTTCAAACCGTCAAATATATATAAAAATAACAGTCAAGTATTCTTAATTTCGTAGTAGTGCCAAGAACAAGCTAGCCCTCATAAAACTACCAATACTTGCAATATACATGTACAGTGCATCCTAACGTGTACAATTAATTAATAGGAACTTATGGCTAGCTAGGAATAACGTTTTACTGGTTTTTCAGGGCTGCTCAGGAGCCGTGTCCATCCATATGGCAGAGAAAGGCTTATCCCTAGTCCAGCTTCTTAGCTTGAGAATCACAAATATGATCATTCCACACAAAAACCCAAGAGCCGCACTTGAACCCACCAGCGAAATTGCAGTAACCATAAGCGTCACAAAGGAATCTTGTTTAGTATTCATGTCCCTTGAAGCCATGGCTAGCTCAATCCCAGCAAATAACAGCAATATCCCTAGTATCCCCACAGGGAACTCGTTTAATATATGGGCCAAAGAGCTCCCCAACACCAAACCTAGCACCAATTTGGCTACCCCAAGAAGAGCCACACAAGCACCACTCCGACCACCAAACTTGTATTGTCCTGCAAGTCCACCGGCTCCATGGCAAGAAGGCATTGCCCCGAACCAAGTTCCCACCAAGTTCATCAAACCCACTGTCACTGACAGTGACGTGGCCGTAAATTCCTTTCCGGGAAACAGATCCGACGACAACTTGCATACAGCTATCACAGAGTTCAGGATTGATAGTGGAAGTTGAGGAATTGTACCTTTGATGAATCCTCGCTTCCATTCGTCTCTTGATATTTTCACCACTCTCATTGAGGAGGGACCAAATTCGATTTCGTGCACCACCTTTGGCCTTCTTATGAAAGCCAAAACAACCCCCAATACAAAGATTATAAAGGCTGAAGGAAGTGAAAAGATTATCTTCCTCACTCGCCTCTTGTTGTTTCTTCTACCTTCAACGTCGACGTCGTCGTCCCTTTGCTGTGGATCACTCGCGGCACAGCAACCACCACGAAAATTCTCGCCGGCCCCGTTCACTGTGATAATGAAGCAAAGACATACAATGGCCAAAACCAAACCATCCAAGCCTAACCATGGCCTATTTCCCAAAGACTTGGATTTTGGCAAGTTTTGTATTTTCTTAACGTATTTACGGCAGTCATCGCAAAGGACAGACCTTGTGCTAGTTGAATCCCCCTGACCACGGACAAAGGAATCAGCCTGTATGCTAGCTGCATCAGCCCCGTCACACCCAATACGAATAGGATCCCGCCGGTCAAAATTCCGGAGGCCATGATCTCCGGAACCCCGAAGTCTGCGTTGGAGAGGGCCTCGGCGGCGATGGACTTCATGGGCTGTACAGGCATCGGGACGCCGTAAATGGCGCCGGTGATGAAGTTGTAGATGCCAGTGAAAATCAATGTGGTGCCAAGGTTGAGGTCTCTGGCTAGAGTCAAAGCCAGTATTATGGGTATGAAAGTGCCAAGGTCGCCCATGGCTCCGTTTAACTCCGCCCATTTTGAACGGAAAACCAAGTTGGTTTTCAATTTCAGAAAGGTGGCGCTGGGCCCGGAACGGGTTGTTGAACCGGTTTGGGCGACTTGGGAGGAGATTTGGGCTGTTTCAAGGTCTGGGACTGGAGGGTTTTCAGTAGCCATGGTTGCCGTTCGAAGATTATCAAGTCTGTGAGAGAACGTGGGAGTATGGATCATCTTATTTATAAGCAAAAATAATAATTTATCTTTTTTCTGTAAAACAACTAAAAAGTCAATGTTATTCTTGGTGACAAGCTGTTCGCGTGGCTATTGGCGAGAAAAAGACAACTTGTAGATCAAAATAATAATAATAATATTGTTATAAATAACAAAATACTCTGATCATTTCATCGGGAATTTTATTTATTCTTTTAATTATTTTCCTGATCTAATAAACTCCGTTACTTTTAACAAGCATTTGGGGATAATGAAAGCTTTAGCTCATTAAATTTATTTTAGTTATCAACTCCTTCTGTTGCTGCCTTAGTTATAAATTTGGTTTTAAATTTTTTTATTAACCAAGTTTTTAAATTTTCATAATCATATGCAATTAATTTTATGGTCTTGTCTTTCATAGGATTAATTGCGCATAATTAATAAATTCATGGGAATCCTACAGAGTGTTAACTATTCTCAAACTCAACTGAGACGACTAAAGTTTGTAAGAAAGATCATAATGTGCGGTGATGGGAGTCCTGAACCTCATTAAGAGGTAATACATGACTGGATGGCTGTCCTCTCCTCTTTAAGTAGTGAGATTGATGAGATGAGAGACCTTTTGTTACTTTATTAATTCAACCAATTTATCATATAAGTATAAAAAGGTTTATGCACATTGGGTAACTTATTACACTCAGGATAAAAATAGTGAATTCAAGGTTACTTCTTTCCTGTTGGCAAACTACGTACAACACCAAAAAACTACCACTGGCTACGATAAATTAATATATTTTTAGGAAAAAAATACTCAAAAATACCATTTAAATTGAAAATGATAAAAAGGTGATACTAACATATCAAAATATTTGGCATTAAAAAAAGCACGTCAAAATCTTTGCAAAAATCTTTCAAGTGGTATTTTTATGTCATTTTTTTAAATAATAAACACAGAACCTTCCAAGTTGAGAATAAAAAAAAAGGCGTGAGATACCAATTAATCAAACTCTTACCATTAGAATCATTTCCCGCATTATAAATTTTTGTTAAAGGCTCAATCTCTAATTAACGTCATTTGCTTGTGTTAATTAAACAAACGAACAACCATATAACATCATTATCATTGACTTACCATTATTTGCTTTTCTTTCGATAGTTTATTAGGATTTTTTTAGTTTTCTAAGACCCTAGGCATCATCAACTTGCTATTTCTTTATTTATTTAGCTAGTTTGCAACTGGGAGCGATTTTTTGGCCTTTCTTCCATATACTTAGGATGCGTACAATCGCCCTATTCTGCTTAACAACGGTGATTAAACTTTCATTAATTACTCCTCCGGTCCTTAATATAAGACCCATTTAATTAATTTGATTAGATTAAGGAAGTTAGGTAAGTTAGTTAATTATAAGAAAAGTGACACATTTTTCCTAAAACATTATAATCATCTTTCTTAATACCCCCTCTCCCTCTTCCACTTGATTATGGTTGAGAGAGCATCCATAAGGGTAATTTAGAGAAAACTGATAAATATGAAAAATGGGTCTTATATTTAGGACCAAAATCAACTCAATAATTGGGTCCTATATTAAGGACCGGAGGAGTATTATTTTTATTTGTCCGATACAAACTAAACATTCGTTCTTTTTTATTTCAATAATATAATTCTATCTCTGAGGAAGGACGCCTAACAATTCCCATCTTTATAACAGGATATAGCAGGTATTCATGGACAGTAAAACTTTTAGTCCGTTAAATTTATCTCAGTCATCAATTTTTTTTTCGATACAACGGGAAAAAGTTATCAATTATTTTGGTTACTGCCTTAGTTATCAATTAGTTATCAAGTTGGCTTTTAAAATTTATTTTTTATTAATTGAGTTTCTAAAGTTTCATGATATATAGAGTGCAATCAATTCTCATGGTGTTATTTTCCCTTCAAATCATAAAGATTAATTGCGCATAATTATGAAATTAATGGGAATCATACGAAGTCCGAACCATTTTCGAACTCAACTGAGAGGACCAAAAGTTATAAGAAGATCATCATGTTCAACAAATTTATCATATAAGTATTAAAAGGTTTACGCAGATTGGTTAACTTATTACACTCCCATTGGCAAACTACGTACGGCAGCAAAGAATTAAAACTGGCTGCTATAAAATTAATACTACCTTCAGTTTTAATTACAAAATCTTATTTGTAAACTACAAATAAGATCTTATAATTAAAAATAGAAGTAGTATATTTTCAAATATAGACGAACTATTTTAAATAATGAATACATAATATTTGCAAGTTGGGAATAAGTAAAAGGATGCAAGATACCAAGCCTTTTTTTTTTTTGGTATTCCAAGTCAACTAGAGGTGCAAGACACCAATCAAGCTCTTGCCATCCGATTCAGTTCCTGCATTATAAATTTCAGTTAAAGGCTCAAAATCTCTAGTTAACGTCATTTACTTGCGTTGATTAAACAAACGAACATAGATATCATCGCTGACTTACCATTATTTGTTTATCCTTTGATAGTTTATTAGGATTTTGCAGTTTTCTAAGACACAATATTATACTTTTTCAGTCTTTAATATATGACCTAATTATTAAGTTAGTTTTGATCCTAAATATAAGACCTATTTCTCATATTTATCAATTTTTTTCTAAATTATCCCTATAGAAACTCCCTCAACCATAATCAAGTAAGTGAGGGAGGAAGAATATTAAGAAAAATAATTATGATATTTTAAGAAAAATATGTCATATTTTTTTATAAATAACTAACTTACCTAACTTCTTTGATATAATCAAATTAGTTAAATAGACCTTATATTAAAGATCAGAAGAGTATATAAACAACAACAACGAAAACAAAACATTATTCCATTGGGTGGGGTCGAAGCCAAATTTTTGAATATATTATTAATTGAAAAATCTCATTCAATAACTTCTTTTCATTGTTCTTGTTAGCTTTTATCTACTCTTTTCGAAAAGACTCCATACAATTTAATTACCTTTTTTTTATCGGCTTTTCGTCTACACTTATGATTTGTACAATCTCCCTGTCGCTAGCTGAAGATGCAGAAACTCTCAATAATTGTTATATATTTATTAACTGTTACTACCTCCGATTCTTAATATAAGACCTCATTTGACTTTTTGTTTAGTCCTAATTATAAGACCCCAATCCATTTTGTCTCTCATATTTATGCATTTTTCTAAGATAGTCCTTTTAATAATGATAGTTCTAGCCAATACACTTAATTAGTAAAGATATTTTAGGAATGACAACATTTATTTATTACAAATAACTAACTTAACTTACTTTTTTAATCTCCTCAAATAAATCAACTGTGTTTTACAATTAGGACCGGAGGTAGTATTATTTTTTTCTCTTAAAAAAACTAAACATTCTTCTTTTCTCTCTTTCAATCCGTCCCAAGGACGCCGGCTGCATGTGGCCTAATTCATCCCACGTCCCCGCCGAAATAAAGTGACAGCTGGCATTTAAAAAAAAAAAAACTCTCGTTAACTTGAAATAGCAAGCAAGTACTGTGCCTGTAAAGATTACCGCTATTTTGTCAGGTCCGACAAAATCCAACCATAGTCAGGTCATGGGAACTCGGGAGTGCTTCAAACTGAATTGGAGCGTGGCCCCAAAAAAAAAAAAAACCTTAATTGGAGCTAATCAGTTAATTAGCCGTGAAGATTTTGTGTCATTACTCGCTAATAAATATATATAATTATCAAAAGAAGAAAACTCAGGTCCAGTACTTTAGGTCCATTTGGTCCAGTGCACCAACTAATTGCTGCCATCTGGATTATTCAACACGTCAACATTTAACCCCCCAAAAATTGTGTTAACCAAGCAAGGAACAGGTGACGGAAACAAAGCCTTGAATCTCATACGAGGGGTCATTGATCCCCTGCTAATTAAATTCTTTTAATCTCACATGTTTTTGCGAGGCCAATTTAATTAGCTCACCATAGTGATAACAATACCTCAATTTGACTATTTATTGTAATCATCTAATGATCAGTTCACCAATTTGATCTGAGTTTTTACGTCAGTATTAAAAGCATATAGCCAAAAAAAAATTATGAATAGGATATTTCCATGTTTTTGTTTTTTATTTTATCATAACACTAAATTTTTTCCATGTTTTTATTTATTTAACTCAATGGTTTTTCTTCCATAATTATGAAGCACAATGGACAGGTAGAATTGGGCTAGAACAAGAGAAGTCACTAAAAAAATTTCAGCCCGATATTTTTTGGGTTGGGTAGTAGCGGGACGAGCCTCGTGCCATTTGGTAGCTTTGCTTTGACCAGGGTCTGTTGTTCGGTTTCTGACTTCACTTTTGGAGCTGGCGTCGACGAATCGCGCTCGGTTGTCGGAGATAGGCTCTTCTCCGTTTTAACGGTGAGCGTGCAGTGTTCTTCTTCACTTCAGCTTCTTATTATTCATTTCTCCCTTCCAAAAAGAAAAAAAGAAAAAATCTCCGAATCCCCAAGCTGGCCAACCGCGTTCACTTGAGGGAAAAAGAGAGGAAATTTTTTATTTTTTATTTTTGGGTATGAGGAATATTCAAACCGTTTCTCACGAAGCTTACTTAAGTAACCTGTTGGATGTTTGAAGGATTGACTGAAAAAGTAGTTTCAGTTTTGACAACACTTAAACTAGGTACTTGAGATCAATGAATTTGATTGAGTGAATTGTGTGCGCCTGGAAAATGTAAATGATTGAGTTCAACTATCCAAATTCAACGGAAGAAATTATGTTTGTTTTGGAGACACCTATACATGTTAAAACCTTTATGATTACCTGGCATTGCTGTTTGTCTCGTCTTTCTCATTTGAGCATGTAACATACTTGTTCAGTGACCCTCAGTATCTCATTGCACCTGATAAGTATAAAAGGCTACGCAAGAAAAAATTAAAAGCATCTTCATTTCTCATATTTCAGTGTG